TTAAAGACAAAAGCTTCCAGTGCTTTTAATTTTTTCCTAGAGATCATCTTGTACCTTCCCTTACAAGATACATTGTGGTTCACATTGAATTCTTACCAGATACGGCTCCAGTCTCTACCTTGTTCTAATCAGAGAGAAAGAATAGTCAGATCCAGTGACGTGATACTAATGACAGCTCTGATAATGAGCTCCTTGTTGGAGATCTTCAACCAAGGCCACCACTTTTGGAATATGTTATACTTGGGATTCCAGTTGGATATGGCTTAGACTAACAGGCAGCTGAAATCCCTTCCAACTCTCAAATTCAGTCATTCTAATTCTGTGATTTGTTTAAGAAGAGATATTCATGACTCTAAAAGCAAAAGCTTTGTAATAAATGCAGGACATCATTAAGAAATCAAGGGATCAGCAAGATGGCTGAGTAATTTTTTCCCCAAACATTCCCACAATTAAATAATTTTCAGAAAAAGAAATCATGTGTAAGATATAGAGTAACTGAAGCTGAATCTACAAGGAAAGAAGCTGAAAATTCTCAACAGGTTTAAAAAAAACTTTGAAAATAACATCAGAGATCTTAAATACTTAGAACACCCTTTAAGAGTTCTCACCTTCCAGCTCTCCATGACACAGACATAGCCAGAATGAGCTATATCCTAGTCTTATGCTTCAGAGTCCCACCTTGACAATGACTCAACTAAAATCTCCCTTTTTCCCAGTAGAGGCATCAGATACTGATTCAGTACAGACCATGGGGGAAAAAAAGCACCTAGAACAGAAGAGGAAGATAGCACATAGCATGGTAGAGAGCCAATTTAAGAGGGAAAAGAGATTCTTTGTCAGAGGGAAAGGGGAATAGAATTCTACCTAGGCTCAGTCCTTTCCACAGAGAAGTTACTCTAGAAAAAAAAAAACAAGCAGTGCCTCCATAATTGCTAAAGTGGGGAGGCTGAAAATGCCCATGTTTGAGATATATGCAATAGTGGAAGATGTGGAAGGGTCACAGGATGAGGGAAAAAACAACACAGACAAGTCACTAGGAATACAAGGAAGGAGTGGAAAGCCAAAAGGGCTAAAGGAGAATGCCTCAGTAAAAATCTAGCTCACAGATAAGCCAACACAGAGGCTAAGTAAAAATTAAAAAAAAAAAAGTACAGGGAACATTGAACACGTATATTATGAAGTAAAACCAGTGAAAGTAAGAATCCTGAGGATTTCCCAAAGACCATGGAACAAGAGTAAGAAATTCCAGACAGAACATTAGGGGGAAAAAAAAGAAATTAGGAATGAGATCAAGTTGAGAATCACCCTTCTCAATGCTGAGTTCAAAACTACAAAGGCAAAAAAAAACATGGACTACGTGGTGGAAATTTTCACCAAAGTGGATTCTGTTTGACAGAGAATAAAAGATTTGGAACACAAAAATATAAACGTGAACGAAACTGTGATGGAAGAGCAGCAAAAGGCAACAAGGTTAAGGAATGCATGAATGCTTTACAGTGCAAAGAAACTACCCTTTAAGACAGGATGAATAGAATTAACTTGGGGATCACTATCTCCCAGAATAATATGATATAAAAAACTCTGAATACTGTAGTTCAGGAAATAACACAAGAAAACTGTTCAGACCTTTTTTTATTATAAATAACAAAGTACTAAATAATTTAATTCACAGATTGTTACCAAGAAAAAAAAATGTTTGAAATACTAAGGCGTGTAGTAGTTAAATTTCATAATTCCAGCAACAAATAAATTGTACATGCAGCCAAGAGAAAAATCTTCAGATGCAAAACAAACAAAACCCTCATATTAGTTTGAATAACCTATAATTACTTAGTCATAAGAAATCAGAGAGAATGAAGTAGCTTATTCGAAAAAGCAATGGAACTCAAACTGCACCCCAAAGTAATATATTCTGCAAATCAAAGCATATTTTAAAGTGTCTGAATTGAAAGAAAAGAGTACTGTAAAAACAAAAATCTTAAGAGATTAGAGGAGAGAAGAAGCCAAGACATTTTAAAGTAGATGGTGAGGGAAAATGGTCAAAAGATGGGGAAAATGATAAAAAAGAACAATTTAAGCCTATTCAAGGAACTTGGGACAGGACAGGTAAACAGGAATAAGGGAGCTCCAATGGAAATAAACTAGCATCAAAGTAGTGTAATTAAAAAAATAATAATAACAAATCAATGACTGAAAAGAGAAGGGAATACAGATATAGAGAAATTATAAAAATGTTAAAATGAGAAATATTCATCAAATCCTTATGGACAATAATGCAACAAAATAGTAATTAATACAGAGAATATAAACAAAAGATACAGACCCAAGTGGAGATTTAATAAGGACATCCTGCATTAATGAGTGAATCAAGGAATGAATGAGGAACGTAAAAGTTATGTAAAAAAAAGATAACACTAAGAGCACCCTTCAAAATTTCTGAGATGAAAGTAAAGCTGTTCTTAGAGAAAAAAAAACTGTATCTTTGAAGACATACGTTAATAAAATAGGAACAAAAAGAATAGAGTATGAAACTTAAATATATATACAAAATAAACAAGTTAAGCACAAAATTGAAAACTTTGAAAATTAGATAAATCAAATGTAGAAATGATGAAATTTAAAGCTGATTCTCTGAAAATACTAACAGAATTAATAAATGTTTTTGCAAACCCGATAAGAATAAAAATGGAAAAAAATCAAATTACCAAAATGAAAAACAAGGTTACGTTATAACAGAGAAGAAAGAAAAAGAATGATCAGAATTGACAATACACACTTATATGCTCCAAAGCCAAAAATGGAAAATAAATGGAAACTTATCTATAGAAATATAAAATATCCAAATTAACAGAACATGAAATAAAGATCTTAAACTACTCACATAAAATAAAATTGAAGAAATCATACATGAACTACTGGGGGGGCAGGGGAGTCCTCTGATCCAAATGCATTAATGGATAAAACCTATCAAACATTTTAAGAGTGACTAATTCTACACAAATGGAAAAATTAAAAATTCTACCACACTACTTTTTTTATTCAGAACATATTTCGTAAAATGTATTAGTGTATCTCCCCCTTATAGAATTTAAGCTCCTGGATTGCTAGAATTATTTCTTTTTTTAATTTTTTGTCTTTCTATTCCCAGTTCCTTGAACAGTTGCTAACACAGACGTAGTATCTTATAAATGCTAACTGATTGATTGATAAACATCCTTATACCTAAACCTGGTAAGGATAAAACAAAGAAAGAAAACTAAAGACCGCTATCACTAATGAATATTGGTATAATTTTTTAAATAAAATTCTATCAAAAAGACTATATGAATATATCCAGAGGAAGAAAAAAAAAAGCATTCCTGTGACCAAAGTGGATATATTCCAGAGATGTGAATTTAGGAAAATAATTAACATAACTAACTTTATTGAAGCCAAAATACCATAAACCTTATGATCATATCATTATATGTAGAGGGAAAAAAACCTTCAACAAAACATAACACTCATTCATGCCATAAAAATAGGCATAAAATGGTCAATTTTAATACAATAAAAAGTATATATTGAAAACAAAATGCTAATATTATGTGCAATGGAGAAATGCTAAAAGCTTTCCTAAAAATAGAGATGTAAAGCAAGGACCTTCTCTCCTTGAAATCCATGACACAGACATAGCCAGCATGAGCTACAGCCTAGTTTTATGCTCCTACTATATTATATTACATAGTTCTAGAAATGCTAGTAATAGTAATAAAGGAGAGGAAAAAATTAAAAGTATGGCAAAGGGATAACAAAATTATTGATATTTACAAATGACATGATAATTTACTTAGAAAACCCAGAAAGTCCCTAAATAAACTCACTGAAGCAATTGCTTCATTAAAGTAACAGGACACAAAATAAATCCACAAAAACCATAGCCATCTCTATGTGATAATTAAAAAGTCCAAGAAGATGTAATAGGAAAGTAATTCACATTTAACACAAAATAAAAATAAAATTTAGGTAACAGTTTAACTAGAAAGATGTTAGTACCTCACAATCCATTCTGGAATTGTTTTCTTATTTTATGTGACTCAGAGTTGCCTCTCTAACTGAACTCCAATTGGTTTGCAACCAGAGATCACATCTTATAATTCTTCTATGTAACTCATAGGAAATACTTATTTTACCTATCATAGTGCTGGGCATAACCTGAGTGATCAATAAATAATTCACTGATTACTGTCATTAAATAATAGTGGGATGAGTATGTCCAGGGACTAAGTTATTTTTCCTACTCCTCTTCACTGGTCTGTTTCCAACATTGATCAATAAACATTTATTAAGAGTCTCCTATGTTTCAGGTACTGTGCTAAGCAATGGGGAGACAAAAAGATACAAAAGACAGTTCCTGCCCTGAAGGAGCTTACAATCTAATGGATGGAGACAACATACAAACAAATATGTTCAAAGCAGACTACATTTGAGATAAATAGGAAATAAATAATAGGAAGGCACTGGAATTAAGATGAGTTGGGGAAGGGAAGGCACTGAAATTAAAAAGGGTTGATGGAAGGCTTCTTATAGAAGGTGGGATTTTAGTTGACACTTAAGAAAAGCTCAGGAAGGTCAGTAGTCAAGGGGGAGGAGGGAAAACATTCCAGGCATGGAAGAAAGCAGAGAGAATGCTGGGAACCAAGAGATGGAGTATCTTGTTCATGGAACAGCAAGGAGGCCAGTATCATTGAATCAAAGAGTAAGTGTTGGAGAGTAAGGTGTAAGAAGATTAGAAAGGAGGGAGGGGGCTAGGTTATGAAGGGCTTTGAATGCCAAATAGGATCTTTTTATTTGATCCTAGAGGTGATAAAAAGTTAGCATTCTGTCATCAGGACTTTATGGACTAAACTAATATGAGATGCCATTCTTATCATTGAGAGAGAAAGATCAACAAAAAAAAAATCAAAGTTTGATCATCAGTATCTAAACTATGGCATATTTTGGTTTTGTCTTGTTTTTAGGAGAAAGAAAAAAAAGTAGAAAGAAAGATAGGAAGAATCCATTTTACTAGTGAAGTCTCTCCCACCAAGAGTACAGTAAGAATTGATCTTTTTTTATTCAGCCTCCTTCTTAAGATCATAAATTTAAGCCTTCACATGCCAAACAGACTAACCCTTCTCCTCCGTCCTATTTCTTTGGATGAGGAAACAGAGGACCATAGAGGTCAAATGACCTCCCCAAGGTCACATAGGTCATTAATGACAGAAATGGAATTTGAACCTTGGTCCTCTAACTCCAAATCCATTGCTTTTGCCTTGTATCACACTCCCTGTGGAGAGCAATCCATGTCCATGCTTCACCTCAATTCTGTTCTTCTGTATATAATTCATAAAATATTCCTTGTGGTTTTCATTATGAGCTGAAAAACTATCCTCATTAAAGAGGCATTTTTTGAATTGCATTTTTTTCTCACTTACTTACTCAAAGCCAATACCAGTTTCTGTCATACAATTTTTTTACAACCTGCATCACATCTTGACCATGACATATTTTTCTCCCCTAGGTGAATGGAACAGAGAAAAAGACAGGAGGGCCCTGCTTCAAGATCCTGGTAAGAGTTAATATCCTTATTTTCATCCTAGTTTCTCAAAAGAAACTCATGCCCGTGTTTCTTTTAACTTTGTTTTTCTGTATATAATTTATAAAGAATTATATATGATTTTATTAAAGGGGTGAGAACCCTGCCTCATTAAGAGGAGTCCTTTTTGAACTGCATTATTTTGAAACTTGAAATTTTAAAAAGTGAAGTGGAGAAGAAGTGAGCAAGCATGCTCCCCCAACAACCTGGCTGAAACAGTCTGCCCACCTGAAGAATCTTTATACCCTTCAGGATTCACCCTGTCCAATCCCACAGTGCCCCTATGACATCTCAAACCCACAGAGAACATGCCACATTGTACATATTAAATCCACTGCTTTCAAGTTAGTTTCTGACTGGGGATTAGCAATCTTTCTCAGACTGGTTATGCTTTTAAATTACAAAGAGAACATGGAAGGAAGACAAAAGAAAAGAATATATTCCCCAAAATACAGGAGAAATTTCTCTTTCTCATTGATCTTTATATTTTTTAACATTCTTTGGGGCATAGAAAAAAATGTGATAGAAGTGATGTTTATATAGCATAGCTGACTTAGCTCAGGACCTTTGTATTACAAAGATACAAATTCCAAGAACTTTTCCTAATGTGGTATTGGTCATAAAATAGCTACACTTTTCTCCCTCAAATCCGACTTGGATAAATCGTGAACATGGCCTTTAATGGTGTTCAGGCTTTTTGTCTGCCAACCTGTAGCCTTCTGTAGGTCCAATGTGGAATGTATCCCTTGCCTTTTTTGCTCCTTCCACAGAAATCTAGATCTGTGACTTGCTGCTTCTGTCCCTAAAGGGCTCCCATGGGACCCTCCCTTCTGCCTCTTTAGTGGCAGCTTTCAGCCCTGTGCAGTTCATCCATGACCATTCTTTATTTTTTTAAGTTTTTTACTCATCTTAAATTTAAATAGAAAATGAGAAAAAAGAACATTTCCATATACACAGCAGAACATGAGAGGAGTCAATATAAAGTAATAAATTTCCATTTCACAGAACCCTATATAATACTACACATTGTTTTCAAAGCAACCCAGCTTTTCTGTGCTTCCTTCTAGGTTTTCTATTCTCTGCTGTGTACTTTTTCTTTTCTTTTTTTTTCTCCCTCCCTTCTCCCCCCAACCCCCTGGCCTAGAGAAGGCTACAATTAAATATAAACATGTGAATACATATACATATACATATATATATATATATACACACACACACACACATACATATATATATATATATACATATATATGTAAATGCAAGACCATATTATGCATATTTTGATTTGTCATTTCTTTCCCTGGAGGTAGATAGTATCTTCTTTCGTAGGTCCAAGTCTTTCCATGTTTTTTTTTTTTTTCCTAAATCACCCAGCTCATCATTTCTTATATCACTGCAGTATTCCATTACAATCAAATCCTATCTGAGAGATTTTCTATGAAAGTTCGTGGTAGCTCTCTTTACTTGGATTCTTTCTCTTTTGCTTACTCTTTTTTTAAATTTATTTTTAGCAGCTTATTATTGATATTCTGGTTCTAGTCCAAAGGTATGGGGAATTATGCCCCACACCTCAGGTCCTTCTTACTGTTATTATCTGAGCTCTGTCTGGGGCTCCAGCCTTGGACACTCCTTTCCATCCATAAAGCTAGGCCCTAGCTACAATGTCCTGCAAAAGCTCTTGCTCCCTGTGGTCCCTCCAGAGGCTGCAAATTTCAACAGTTGTCTTTACCCTGGAACCAAAACCAGAGACTCTGCTCTCCTGTAACTGCCTACAGCCATCAGAGTCCATGCCCTGCTGCTCCACCCCACTCACCAGGTGTGTGCCAGTTCCATCTCCCCCACAACAGCACCTGGACCCCATCTGGTCAGCACAGCTGTGTTTGGTGTCCCTTGACAGAGGAAGGTGCTTCCTCCTACCACTGAGCCTTCCAATCCCCCACACTGTTCATGAGGTGAAAGTTCCTGAGGCTGAGGCTGCTTCCCAACCCAGCTGCCCCCAGGACTTGTTGTTTATTGATTCCCTGGAGTTGGCCTGGAGGTGTTTGCACTTCACCCAGGCCAAGCCTCCATCTCTGGAGGTCCAATCTTTCCTGGGGTCTTCTCATATTGCCTGAGGATGCCACTGCCTTACCTTGACTTTTGTTTATTTCTGCTGCTCCATGTTCACTTTGAGGAGATGTTCTGTCTTTTTTTTTTTTGGAGGAAATTTGGAGAGCCTAAAGTTTTCTGACCTACTCTACCATCTTCCTAGAATCTTCCCTCCTCCAAGATCATTCTCAGCTATTCAGCCCTTATTTATGATAAGTGTGTGTGTATACATATACAGACACAGATACACATTTATAAATATGTGTGTATATATGTGTGTTTACATACATATATGTAGACATATGTGTGTATATATATATATATAACTTATACATACATAAACTTTAAAGTGGTACTTTGGTGTAATTATTTTTTTATGTATATCACCTGCTGGCCAATCTCCTAGAAATTAACTTCTCCATACTTAGTGTGAATTTTCCTGGAAATGAGCAGTTTTTCACTGGTACCTTGGTAGGACTGATTACCTATGTACCTCTACATACATATACAATACATACACATACACACATCACAATACATACATACACATACACATACACATATATTATTTTCTAAATATATGCATGCACTCACACATATATGTGACTACCTATAACCATATATGCATATACACATGTGCATATATGTATATGTATGACTATATATGTATATATAACTTTAAGTTACAAAGCAAGAGAAATTTCTTCACCCGAGTGTTGCCTGTATCAATGAAATAGCAGTGCTAGTCCCGATTCCTATTCCTTTTCCTTCCTAGGTCTTTGCAAACCTTAAAGTTCTACACAAATGCTAGCTATAGTAATAATACGACTACTTACTGTTGTTCTTGTTGTTACTAGGGATATAAAGACAAAAAAAATAGCTAGCATTTCTAGGGAACCTTAAGTTTTACCCAGTTCTTTATATGTGTTATTGACCCTCACAATAACCCTGGGAGGTAAGTACTTATTATTTCCATTTTACAAATGAAAAAGTGAGGGTGAGAGAGGTTAAGCAACTCACACAGGGTCACACAGCTATTACATATCTGAAGTAGGATTGGCACTCAGGGCTTCATGACTCCAACTGCATGACCTAGCTGCCTTTACATGATAATGTGAGAAGAGGGGAAAAGAAATGTTTAAGACAAATATGTGCATATAATTTAATCACAGACAGCTAGATGGTGCAGTGTGCCAGGAAGACGCATGTTCTTGAGTTCAAATGTGGCCTCAGACACTTTTTACCTGTGTTATCCTGAGCAAGTCACTTAATCCTGTTTGACTTAGTTCCTCATCTGTAAAATGAGCTGGAGTAGGAAATGGCAAACTACTCCAATAACTTTGCCAAGAAATCCCCAAATAAGGTCACAAAGAATCAGACACAACTGAAATGACTAAGCAACAACAAATAATTTAATTGTGTTTCATGTGAAGATGAAAGCTATAGAAATTTTCATTTGTCATTATAGGGAGAAAAATCTTCCAAGGAAAGAAAAAAACAGAATAAATGTTTATGCTTAATACAAAAAATGATATCCGATGTTAGCAATTGCTGGAGGAAAATTTTGAACATGAACGCCAATGGGCACTGACACAACTGTGATGGCAGAGAAGCCCCATGATTTGAACACCTTTCACTTGCATTCACCAAGTGTTCATCTGCTCACACTGATCTATCTCCATGCCAGAAGCTGCTGTATTTATCCTGGCAAAGCTATGGCACCATGAGCAAGGGACCGTGAATTCTACTCTACTCCACTGCAGACACCAGTAGACAGAGAAGCAAACCAATGAAACAGAAAATGATAATTCACAATAAAAGCTACTTGATAACGACCTGGACATGCCTTTATTCTGGAACAGATTACACGTGCATAACAACAAAATACCTAATCTCCTGTGTTCTCTGTTGCAGTAACTTGTAAGGATTTTTGCTTTTTTACTGCTCAGCTGAAAACTTCAGACAAAGAACTAGTATAATAATATATTTTGTGCAATATAAAAAAAGTACAGCAGAATTCCCAATTAACATTTCATTTCTTTCACTAAACAATTCAGTGACCCTTTAGCTTCCATTATACTGTACTGAGTGGGGGAAAAGGTCATCTTCAGGGCTACAAGACATGCTTCACATCTGACACTGGGAAACTAACAAATACCCAAGAGAAGAGGAGGATGCTCACTTTTCTTAAAAAGGGAGCAGTGATGCAAACAAGACACAAACCAAAGAGCTCCATGAAGCAGAAATTGTCGACAGAGACAGAACAACTTGAAAATAAAATGTCAATCTCCATTCAATTCAATTGGAAAAGTATTTGAAGAGGGCCTCTTCTATTCAAAGAATCAGGGATGAAAAGACAGAAACCAAACATAGTACTGGTCTTGTAGGAGCTTACATTCCCCTGAGAGATGCAATGTGTCCAGAGAGGTAAATGTAAGACAGTGTTAAGAGAGTGAAGAATACAAGCTGTCAGAACAGTTTTCACTCTAGTGAAAAATTAATTTTGACCTTTATGTACATAGTAAAATTTATCTAAGTAACCTTGATATGATGAGTATTTTTTCAGAGAATAATATATATTGACATTTTATTGATGATATGTACATATTTAATTTTTACTACATATCTTTGTATATATATTTTGATAGATTCTTATGATTATTGCTTTGAATAACATTACTCCTTTCTTAATAAAAGACATATGCAATAATATGGTATAATAATTTCTTTTATTTTCTGTGATTGGCATTTGTTCTTCTAAGAGAAGAAATAAAATCAATCTAGCCTTCTTTTCCACCACTCCCTAGTCCATACCCTTCCACTCTAATCAGATTCGTCTCTTCATGGCGCTACATCACGTAATGGTGAAACAACAGGGCATGCAGACTCGCCAACTCAACCAGACATTGTGATGTTGTGGAAACATCAATGGATGTGAAGTCAGAAACCCCCAAGTTCAAATCTCAGCTCTGCTATTTGCTACCTTTGTTCCCTTGGCAAAATCACTTAATGTCTTTGGACTTCTATGTCTTCCTCAGCCATATTAAGGGGCTGAGATTACATAATTTCTGAGGTCTGCTCTATCTCTAAATGTCTCTTCCTATTTCTTATCCCTGCTGTTATGCTTTGGGTCATGCTATTCCTACCACCTGGAATGCTCTCCCTGAAACTTCTTACTCTTGACCTCAACAGGTCTGTGTCAAGCTCTGCCTCCTGGATGATATTTTTGATCACCATGATTGTCTCCTAACACTTAAAGTTGCATTCTGTATTTTTATTTTATTATATTACATTTAGCACTTGATGTAATAGTTTGTATTGTTTGATAGTGAATTCACATTTAATGTACATAAATGTCAAAAGTTTTGTCATATTTCTTTTTGTAGTCCCCTTATAGTGCCTAGCAGTTGACTGAATATTTATTGAATTGAAATACACGTTCTAATCCTTTTCAGGCTGTATTCTTGACTCTCTGGACTTTCTCTACCATACCACAGAAACCTTTTCACCTTGGAAACTCACTTTATCCCTGGACTTCACATACTAGATGTACCCTCTGCCCCTGAAGCCTCTCCCTCTGATTGTATGGTTCTTCCCAGAAATTCCATTTGAAGGAAGATGTCCAGGCTAACCATCTCTTCATTTCTTCCCATCCTGTACTCCTTACATTTATCTCTTCTGTCCTCACACACACCCCACCAACTTCCTTTTATGTGTTATCTTCCCCCATTAGAATTTAAGCTCCTTGAGGGGAAACACTGTCTGTCTTTCTTCTTGTATTTCCAGCATTAAGTGCAGAGCCTGGCACATTGTAAGCATACATGCTTGTTGATAACTTGAACTGAGCTGAGTCCAGAATGTAAAAGGAGGAGGAGGAGGAGGAGGAGAGAAGACTGGGTTGCATTTGGAGATTTCTGCAGCATTTTCAATTATTGGAAATTGGTCTTACTACATAACTCCATGTTTTTAATATCCTGATAATGTCATAAGGCTATGACTCATGTCAAACCATGATTTCATAAGAATAGACATGTCAAGTAACCCAAAGCATGATATAAGGATACATGGTAACTTCAAAGAATCACCTAGGATGCATTATGTGTAAGAAGTATCATTAATTACACTATTAAGGACATGTGTGAAGGCAAAAGAAGGTAGGCCAGTTATATAGTTAGCACCAGATATAACTAGCAGCCAGCTGGAACATTTTAAAATCAAGGGGAAGGTTTCCAATCCATTGGGCTGATCTCCTATGGACGACTTACAAAAGAGCATCGAAAATAATTATGCATAGGATGCAAAGGCACTGATGTGTTACAGTCTACACCAGTGGAGGAAATACCTGCCTTGATGAGATCACTGTTCCATTGTTATAAATTATAATAATTGCTTATCCAAAGCAGAGGATACAATTTTACTTTAAGATAAAGTAAGAGGAAATGTAAATTATTTCACATTGGATGCCTAATAGATAAATGAAATAACGTATAAAAAGCACTTTGCAAAATTTAAAGCATTAAGACTATTATTGTTATTATTATCTCTTTTCATCTTAATTCTGCGGTGTTCAGATATAAATGGTCCTGGGACAGGTTGATATCCTGCTATTACTCTTTTACATTTAATGTTCTGTGGACTATTGTGCAGGTGGTTAAAATGACTCTGTGTGTGTGTCTATGCCTGTGTTTTGCAGTTGAATCAAAGTATTGGGAAATAAGATCATCTTATGAAGATTTCTTCAGGACGGGAGAGAGACAGAGAGAAAAAGGAGGTGGGGAGAGAACAAAAAAAAAAAAAGGAAAGTTTCATAATGAATATACCTAGTCCAGCAAAACAAATTTGCACATTGAATATGTCCAAAAATGGTCCCAAAATCATATTTTACATTTTAAATCCATCACCACTCTCACAGGAGGTGGGTAGCATGCTTTATCTTTGGTCCTTGAGAATCATGGTTCATGTTGATATATGTTAGTATAGTTTCCTCAAAGCAGAGAAGTAAAAGTTAATCTGGATCTGGACACAAAATGAGGAAGATAATTTGACGGTAGATATATCTGGTATATAAGGTGGCCCATCAGGCAAGTTTTCCCTTTTCCCATTTTTCCATCCTGAACAAGTTAAAAAAAAACAAAAAAACAGATGCCCATTGCAGCAGGGGTAGGGTCAAGGTCACTGAGTAAGAGAATCACAGCTCAGAGGGCAGGACTAGGGAGAAAGGATGCTGAACCCGGAAAGGTAGTTTTTAGTCAAATGATTTTAACTCATACTTCCAGAAGCATACCAACACTGTTAGAAGTGAAAGCTGATTCATGTTGAAAAAAATGTTATACATCTCCAGAGAGAGAACTGATAAACTCTGTTTGCAAACTGAAGTATAATTTTCTCATTTTAAATTTTCCTTTCACTTTGTTTTGTGATATAGCTAATATGGAAGTGTTTAGCATGATTTCACATGTATAATTGATATATTGTTTGCCTTCTCACTGTCTGGGGGAGGGGTAGAAGGGAGAGAATCTGGAACTCAAAATTTAAAAAGAAAATGTTAAACAATATTTTTTAAAGAAAGAAGCAAGAGCTTATCCTGAAGAAATAATTGGCTTTTTATTTTACTTTGAACTTCTTTCCTTTTTTCATTTTTATTTATCATATTTGGTTGATAATTCTCCAATGTGTAATTTCATCTCATTGCACTCAACTGCTACATTCCTATGTTGAATTTATATGTGAAAGTCTGCATTCAGTGATGACAATATTGACATTAAATGTCATATAATTGCCTCTCATGTTGCAAATGGAATACTATCATTGCTGCTATTTGCATATTTGTTTTATTGTTACTCTAGTATCAGAGTATTGCTTCTTGAATTAATAATGGCATAATATTGCACGTCCATTTTACTTCACATTGGTCAATTTGTTGAGTATAATATAATTATTATGGATCAATATATTGATCAGATGGTATATGTTACTTGAAAAGGTTTGTGATTTTTTTGTTATTTTACTTTGTAAATTTTTAAAATTTATTTTATCTTAAATACAAAATGAGAAAAGAAAAAAATTACCACTTACACAGCAAAACATGAGAGGATTCAGTATAAAACAATAAATTTTCATTTCAAGAAAGCCTTTATAATAAATACTACACGTTGTTTTCAAAGTTGCCCAGTTTTTCTTTTTTTCCTTGTAAGTTTTCTTTTGTTCTCTGCTGTGCACTTTTTACTTTATTTTTCCCCTCCCCTCCCTGCTCTAAAGAAGGCTACAGTTAACAGCAGATACACACACATCATACACACATGTATGTATGTATATATATATATATACACATACAGTTACATAGATATAAATATACACATATATATACATATACACTCATACACCTATACGTAAGACCATGCTATACCTATTTCCACTTGTCATTTGTTAATCTGAAGGTGGATAGCATCTTCATTCATAAGTTCAAGTCTTTCCATGTTTTTCTAAATCAACCAGCTCATCATTTCCTACAGCAGAGCAATATTCGAACTCAGTTACATCCTATCTGAGAGATTGCCTATGAAAGTTTTTTTCCCAAATTTTCTGCATTCCTTCTTGCTGCATAGGTTTTATTGATACAAGAAAAAATTTAAAGTAATCAAAATTATCCATTTTATACTTCAACAATGCCCTCACCTTTTAATATAGTTTAAGGTCTGATACTACTGAATCTGCTTCCTTTACATTTTTTTCCCCTGATTTCTTTGAAGTTCCTGACCTTTTGTTCTTTTAAATGAACTTTGCTATGTTTTCTAACTCAGTAAAATAATTTTTTTAGTAAGTTAATTGGGATGGCATTAAATCAATAGATTAGGTAAAATCATAATTTTAAAAATTATATTGGCTTTACCTATCCATGAACAATAAATATTATTTCAATTATTTAGATCTGACTTTATTTGTATCAAAAGTGTTTTATGTTTATATTCATATAGTTTCTGTGTCTGTTTTGGCAGGTATACGCTCAAGTATTTTATACTGTCTAGCTATTTCAAATGGTCTAAAACAATATTGAATAATATTGCTGACACATAGTGTAGTTTCCCTATTTTTCTTTTGATTAAATCTATTTTAGCTTTAACTTTGTCTGAGATCATGATTACTACCCCTGCTTTTTTTACTTAATAAATTCTACTCCTGACTTTTATTTTCTTTGTGTGTATTTCTGATTTTATAGCATTTCCTGAAAGCAATATATTTTTGAATTCAAATTTTTAATCTAGTATCAGTTTCCGTTTCATGGGTAAATTCATCCCATTCACATTCTAGGCTATTAATTACTTGTGGACTATTTTCCTTCTTCCTATTTCTCTTCACCATCCTTCTCACCCTATTCCCTTCCTCACTCCTCTGCTTTACTTCTACCCACTACTTTGCCCTCCTATTCATTCCTTAACCTATCCATCCCTCCAAGAGTCCCTCTCTTATCTTCTCCCTGCCCCAACCCCTTGCTCTCTTATTTCTTTCTAAATTTAGAAAACTTTTATACCCTTCTAGGTATATATGGTCTTCCCTCTTTACCCCATTTCCAATGAGGTT